TTATTATTTCCTCCCTTCTGCTAGCTTTGGGTTTAGGTTGTTCTTCTTTTTCTAGTTCCTTAAGTTGTAAAGTAGGTTGCTGATTTGAGACCTTTCTTGTTTTTTAACATAAGCATTCATAGCTATACATAATAAACAACAGAAAAGAAAGTCAAATCTCATACAAGATTATTATAAGTAAAGGAGAATAAGGAGCAGAATTATGAAAGCATACCAATGGGATATGAGCAAGAGACAGATATAAATGACAATCACCTATTTCAAAATGAACTAAAAGATTTTTTTTTAAAGTAGCCTCCATGCCAACATGGGGCTTGAACTCACAACCCTGAGATCAAGACCTGAACTGAAATCAAGAGTTGGTCACCCAACTGACTGAGCCACCCTGACACCCCAAAATGAACTAAAAGATCTTAAGAAAATGGTATATGATATGAAAGCACAACATTAGTTAGAACTAGGAAAGCTCAGAAATGAGGTGACAGAACTTAGGAAAGAACATTACAAGTAAAAGAAAAAAAAACAAAGTAAAATCTAAAAAGGAATGCAAGAAGGAATAAATACAACAGATAATGCTATAAGAGAAATATGAGGAAAGGAGGAACACCTTAAAAATAAAAAAAAAAGATATAAAAAGATTGGAGAAAAAGCAATAAATACTGAAGAGAGAACAAAGATCCAACATATGAATAACAAGAGTCTCCTTAAGAAGCATATCAGAGCAAGAGATCAGAACTATTCTAAAACTTATATTTCAAAAAGCTGTCTTGAAATAAAAAAAAAAAAGATACTACATTTTGAAAGATCTTACCACATGCCTGAGATGACTAACCTTGAACAAGTGACACCAAGACATAGTCTGGTAAAATTATAGGACCTTATAGAAAAAGAAAATTATTTTTAAAAAATTTTTATCTTATTTTTATTAGAGAGAGAGAGCCTGCATGCGTGTACATGATTTGGGGAAGGAGGGGCAGAGGGAGAGGAAGAGAGAGAGAATCTTAAGCGGCTCCACACTCAGTGCAGAGCTGAACGTGGGGCTCCATCTCACGACCCTGAGATCATGACCTGACCCAAAATCAAGTGTCGGGCTTAACTCACTGAACCACCCAGGTGTCCTGAAAAAGAAAAATATTTGACTAAACTAGGAGCAAGTAAAAAGAGCAAACAAGTTGTAAGGGAAAGAAAATTTGGTTTTCATCATAAGAAAATGAAATATCTCAAGGAAAGAAAATGTGAGCCAAGAATTTTATGTTTAGAAAGCTGACTTTCACATGTAAAGGCTATTAATATGAAAAAGCTCAGGGAATATAGTACCCCTTCCTGGGAAATCTAGGAGAGAATGAGTTGCAATTGTAAAAAACTAGTGGTGAGCATTAAACACAGAATTCTTTGGAAAATAAAAGTGTTAAAAGGAAGAAGGTAAAGTATTTAATGGTATAGGGTCAGATAATATGTAATATGTCTGTTGAAGTAGGAGTGGAAGGGGTAGAGTGAAAAGTATATGCAAAAAAATTTTAAACTTTTCTCTTTAATTTCAAAAGTTATTTATTTAACTTTTTATTTTATTTATTTGAGAGAGAGAGTGAGCAACTGAGAGAGAGAGAGAAAGAGCACGAGCAGGGGGAAAGGGAGAAGCAGACTCCTCACTAAGCAGGGAGCCCGATGCAGGGATGGATCCCAGGGCCCTGGGATCACGACTGGAGCAGAAGGCAGATGCTCAACTGATTAAGCCACCCAGGTGCCCCAAATTATTTTTTTTTTAAAGATTTTATTTATTTGACAGAGAGAGAGAGAGGGAGAGCACAAGCAGGGGGAGTGACAGACAGAGGGAGAGGGAGAAGTCTCTCTGCTGAGCAGGGAGACCAATGTGGGGCTCAATCCCAGGACCCTGGGATCATGACCTGAAGTGTTAACAGATGCTTAACTGACTGAGCCACCCAGGCACCCCTAAAAGTTATGTATTTTATTTAAGCAATCTCTACACCTAGTGTGGGAATCGAACTCATGAGTCAAGAGTCACAAGCTCTTCCAACTGAGCCAGCCAGGCACCCCTTAAATGTTTCTTAATAATTACATTGGTGATGATTGTATTGTTATTTTGGAGAGTGTTGTTTATGTAATGTGGGCTAAAGTAAATGAACAATTATGGATTACCCCCTATGCTCTTGAGAACTAGGATTCTCAGGGTGGAAGATAGGAAATAAACATGCAGTATAGAAAAGGTTACAAAAAAACCCTGCAGTCTTGAATTTTAAGTAGCAGTATAAACTTTTTTCTCTATGAATATAGATCTAGACATAAATTGGTATAGATCTAGATCTCTCTCTAGCTCTGACCAACAAAGCGGCTTAGAAATAATGATCAGTCTGGTAGCAATGAGCATCTCTAGTGCCGATTGTGGTCTTGAAATACAATTTCCCACTAAAAACCATTTGAACTTCTTTTGAAGGAATGGTTCTTTCTTGTGTCTGGGGCAGGAAATGTACAAGATGAGCCTGGAACTCTTGTCATGCCAGATAGTATGGAAACCAGCAAAAACTTCCAGGATTGTATGTTAAAAGGACTCAGCCTCAATTTCAACATGAACAAATACAGGTAAATATACTGTGGAAAATGGGAGCCATTTTGAAGAGCAGTAAAATTATAGAGGAGGAGAAGACTAGAACAAAGTGTGGTGTTGGATTAGAATTTGAAGTATTGGTGTTAAAACATACATAATTTATATTTACATATTTCCTATATGTATGAAATAGAAATATAGATGAATGGGTTTGTGTGTGTAAACATTCATACATTTCCTAAGTCTATCCACTTTGAGGGACTGGAAATAATGCCATCCCGGTGGCAATAAGCACACCTAGCATCCAGACTTGGATTCTAAATACCATTCTCTACTAAAATAAACTAAGGCTGTTTGGATTAATGACTAATGGGACAGCCTTTGTCAAAATTTCCCACATCACTTATGAAAACAGCAGTGAGGGGGCACCCGGGTAGTTTAGTTGGTTGAGTGTCCAACTCTTGATTTCGGCTCAAGTTATGATCTCATGGTCCTGGTATGGAGCCCCACTTTGGCTCCGTACTTAGTTGCTTGAGATTCTTTCCCTCTGCCTCTCCCTCTGCCCTTCCTCCCCACACCCCACCTTGTGCGCGCATCACTCTCTCTCTCTAATAAATAAACAAATCTTAAAAAAAGAAAGAAAACAGCAGTGAGGTGATCAGTCTCCATCTACCTGGGGCAGTTGAAATTTGAATTACATCTGTGGATTAACTATAGATGGTAGTACTGTATTAATATTAATTTCTTGATTCTGATAGGTTGTACTGTGGCTATGTAGGAGAGCATGTCTTTGTTTTTAGGAAACACACACTGAAATATTTAAGAGTAATGGGGCATCATATCTGCAACTTGCTTTCAAATGGCTTGGGGATGGGGTGGGAAAAGAATAATATATCTAGAGAGGGTGAGAAAGAATGAAAAGGTAAATGTTGTAAAATGTTAACAATTGGGGCTTTAGGTGAAGGTTAAAAGGGAGTTATTTTCTATTATTTTTGTAACTTTACTGTAAACTTCAAAATTATTTTAAAATAAAAATGGGGGGCGCCTGGATGGCTCAGTCGGTTGAGTGTCTAACTAGATTTTGGCTCAGGTCATGATCTCAGGGTCCTGGGATCCAGCCCTGCATCACCCTCCAAACTAACGGGGGGGATCTGCTTCTTTCTGTCTCCCTCTGCCACTCCTGCTCGCATTCTCTACCTCTACAAAGTAAATAAATCTTAAAAAAAAAAAAATGGAAAAGTCATGTTCTCAAACATGAGCATATGGGGAAATATTTAGCTTACTAAACATGTGCAGTATAATCTAAATCTTGTTGAATACATGCATTTATCTAATTCAATATAGTTATATTTTTAGAAGTATAAAAAAAGTTAACAATCATCATCTATTAGTGATAGATCCATCTTAAAACAAAACAAATTTGGAGGACGTATACTACCAGATATCAAGACCTATTCTGAAGCTACAGAAATCAAGTTGTATGGTATTGGCACAGGGATAGAAAAATATATCACTGAGATAGAATAATCAGAAATTGATACATACAAAACAGTCACCTTATTTATGACAAATTCAATGGGGACAGGATAAAAAAAAGGAGTGCTGGATCAATTGATACTCATACAGAAAATAAAAATCTTGATTCCTTATCTCACTTTGCACATAAAAACTAATTTGAAATTAATCATGACCTGAATGTGAAAGATAAAACTTACAGAAGGTAACAGGAAAATATCTTCAAAATTAGGGCAAAGATTTCTTAAATGGGACATATAGAACTTGGGGAGAGGAATTTCCACTGAACTGTTACAGAGAAACTGCATATTTTAGATGCACAGTTCGAATTGGATTGTTTGCACGAAGTTAGAATTAGCGCTAAGATGTTGAGGAGCTACTTCTAATTGGACTCTATTCGAGAATTAAGGACTAAGGAAAGAAAAAAAAACAAAAAAAAGTGAATATAAGAAGTAAATGAGGTTGATCATAGCAGCTGAAGGCTGATCTGGTGTGCACAAACGTAAAAGTGTAATTCCAGAACATCCAACCAACAAAATAAAATTTCATAAATTGGACTTCTAAGAAATTCTTTAAAAACACCATTAAGAGTGTAAAAAAGCAAGCCACTAATTGGGAGGATATTCACAATATACATTCTTGACAAGGACCCACGTTTGTGCAACTCCTAATTTCAGTGACCATACTTATTTCTAAAAGTTCTTTTTGGTTCTTCTCGAATATGCCTGTTCTTTTTTCATCATGTCTTACTCTTAAAGGCTTGATATCTTCTTTAATGTCTTTAATAATTTAAATTTGCTTTACCAAGAGCCCCAGGACTATTTTTTAAAATGTACATTTTATTGTGTATAAATTCTTTCTAAATAAAGTGGACTTAACAAAACTTGAGGTAATACTTAAGATAACACTTTGAACATCCTACCTGATTTTATTCTCATGTCTTTAGTTTTATATATTTTGTTCATATAGATCTGGGTTTTGTTGCTCTCTGTAAAAGAATAAATTAGATTTAAAAATTTTAATTGTAGACACTCAAATGACATGTTATTTGCCTTTTCCCCCCTTAAGTAGCAGACCTCAGCCAAATCAACCTAACTCACAAAAGCCACCCAGCTACACATTTTCTCCTGCCACCGAATCTTTAATCTTTTTTAAATTATTATATTATGTTAATCACCATTACATCATTAGTTTGTGATGTAGTGTTCCATGATTCATTGTTTGCATATAACACACAGTGCTCCATGCAGAACGTGCCCTCTTTAATACCCATCACCAGGCGAACACATCCCCCCACCCCCCTCTCCTCTAGAACCCTCAGTTTGTTTCTCAGAGTCCATAGTCTCTCATGGTTCGTCTCCCCCTCCGATTTCCCCCCCTTCTTCCCTTCCTGCTATCTTCTTCTTCTTCTTTTTTTTAACATATAATGTATTGTTTCAGAGGTACAGGTCTGTGATTCAACAGTCTTACACAATTCACAGTGCTCACCATAGCACACACCCTCCCCAATGTCTATCACCCAGCCACCCCATCCCTCCCACCCCCCCACCACTCCAGCAACCCTCAGTTTGTTTCCTGAGATTAAGAATTCCTCATATCAGTGAGGTCATATGATACATGTCTTTCTCTGATTGACTTACTTCACTCAGCATAATACTCTCCAGTTCCATCCACGTCGTTGCAAATGGCAAGATTTCATTCCTTTTGATGGCTGCATAATATTCCATTGTGTATATATACCACATCTTCTTTATCCATTCATCTGTCGATGGACATCTTGGCTCTTTCCATAGTTTGGCTATAAACATCGAGGTGCACGTACCCCTTCGGATCCCTACATTTGTATCTTTGGGGTAAATACCCAGTAGTGCAATTTAATAGTGCTTCAGTTTCTGCATCTATTCATTGGACATTATATACTACTGTTACTGTATGTTAAAATGCAGACCATAAGACCAATTTTGGATGTTTCTGGGAAAGTATGACCACAAACTTGCACAAAGTATAGAACTGGGGTTTCAAATTCTCAGGTAAGACTATTCTCTCACACATCAACTCCCCTTTTATGGTCCTGCCCAACCAAGCAGAGAAAATTTTTTCCTGTCTTCTTAGCGCTGATACATCATTTTTTGTTTTTTCAGGTTGCCCTTTGACATAGGGTGCAAATTTTTTAAAGGTTTCAATTTCATGCAATGGTGTCAGTTTCAGTCTCTGAGGGGCTCAGTGCTTTCGTCCTCCCAGACCATGCAGTCTGTTTGCTCTCCTCAGTCAGACTATCCTGCTCAGTGGCTGCCCCAATCCCTGGCCTACGTTGGGATGTTCTGGAATTACACTTTTACGTTTGTGCACACCAGATCAGCCCTCAGCTGCTATGATCAACCTCATTTACTTCTTATATTCACTTTTTTTTGTTTTTTTTTCTTTCCTTAGTCCTTAATTCTCGAATAGAGTCCAATTAGAAGTAGCTCCTCAACATCTTAGCGCTAATTCTAACTTCGTGCAAACAATCCAATTCGAACTGTGCATCTAAAATATGCAGTTTCTCTGTAACAGTTCAGTGGAAATTCCTCTCCCCAAGTTCTATGGATGACTGTTACATAAAACTCTCCACTGCGTGTTGAGGTATCACGATCTCGACTTAGTAACACCCCTCCATGGTTTAGAGGGAGTCATCCTTCCCTTCCCCGTTTGCCTCCACAGATAGGTTGGCGACGAGAGGCACAAGTAAGAGGCTCACTTCCCCCGGGGGCACGCCGTTTTCTAGGGGGAGGACGGCGACGTACCGCTCGGCGTGTCTGAAGAGGCTGCTCCGGAAAGCGCCCTCGGGCGTGAGGGTGGCCAGGGTCGCAGCGGGAGGGGATGCGGGCGGGCCTTCCCTCCCGCGGCGCTGTGACAGCCCGCCGTAGCCGACGGATTCTGCACGCTTCCCGGGATGGCGCCAGGCCCACCTCCTGCGAGTCGCGCCCTGGAAGGCAGACAGATAACCAGGCCCCTCGCCCGCGAAAACTGCATAGATACCCTCGCGCGGGAAATTTCGAGTGGCCTAGAAGGCACGCCCTCCCCGTCGACCGGAAGCTTTGGCCATAGCGCCACTAGTCTACAGGCGCCTCAGAAGGGGCGGGGTTGCAGCAGAAACTGCAACTCCCAGAGTGCAGCGCAGGGCTTCCGGCTTCCGGCGAGTGGACCGGAGTGTGTTTACACCGGCGGCTCTGCGGCCGGATTCCTTCCGCGGGACGGGTGAGGGCGCTGGGCCCTGGGCCGCGCGCGCTAGACGTGTGTCTATTAGTTAGCTGGTCCCGTGGGAGCGGTGGGGTCGTCACCTAAAAGATAGTGTCCCTGACCCACTACTAGCTGTCTGTAACCTTGGGCCAGTGACTTCACCTTTCTGAGTTTCGGTTCCCTCGTCTGTAATATGTGGATGATAATGCCTGCCTCAAGGAACAATTGTGAGGGTTAAATGAGATATGGTATATAAAAAGACCTATTTATTCTCATAAACCTGAACAGTATTAAAGTAGATGTGTACCTTGAGGATGCCTTGGGGTCTGCTGTATAGCCTCAAAGCCACACGACCTTTTTCTTTTTCTTTTTACTCTTGCCTACTAGAGGCCTCTTTGGAAGCAGTAATGATTATAACGAGGGCTTGCCTGGTCCTATGAGATTCTTCCACCCTCGGAGTTCCTGATTCATTTTCCGGATACATTTGCCAAGCATTGGGATAATAAAGGCAAAAATTCTAGTCTTTGCTTTCCAGGGCCTCCTAGAATGGGTTGGGGGTGGAGTGGAGGGTTGAGAATTAAATAGATATTTGTAACCTTTGCCCTGAGGGAATGTGAGAGGAAGGGGAGAGGGGATGGAGGAGGTTGTATTTGAGTTGATCTTGGCAGGAATTTGCTAAGAGACCAAAGGGAGGAGGAATTACATGCAGTGTGAGGGAAGGCTTTCTGGGGGTGGACTTAAGTGCTGAAGAGGTTAGGGTAGGACAGGGCTCTATTGGGGGCGGGGAGGAAGGCTGGCAGAGGGAACAGAAAGAATGTTGTCATAAGCCAGGCTGCAGAATTTAGACTTATTCATAGAAGTGGTTTGGAGTCATTGGAGGAGTTCTAAGCAGAGGAATGACTTGATAAGGTCGGTGTTTTAAAACCATGATTAACTGTGGAGAACAAACAGATGGTTACCAGAAGGGAGCTGGGTGGGGGAATGGGTGAAATAGGTGATGGGGCTTAATAGTACACTTAATCAGGATGAGCAGTGAGTAATGTATAGAATTGTCGAATCGCTAAATTGTACACCTGAAAGGAATACTCACTGTATGTTAACTATACTGAGTTGAAAAAAATAAAGTGATGAGTTGGCTTACTGTAGCATGGATGTTTGATAGGGAGAGAGGCAAGAGTCAGGGAGCTTGTTATAAAGCTATTGCAGTTCAAGAAGAGTTGATGAAGAAAATTGGAAATAAGGAGCATACATAAGGGAGAGGGTTGGATGATCTCATTTGAACCTCACAACATTCCTATTAAGTGAGATGGTGTTTTTATGTCCACTTTAAAGATGAAGGAACTGAGGCCTAGAGAGCTGAAGTTTTGTGCTGTTTATCATAGGATGAGTAAAGAGAGGATCCCACATTCTAGTTCTGGCCTCCTGATGTTGCATCCTGTGTTTTTCCAACATTGTCACACTGAATTAGCTTTCATTCAACCCCTTGGTGGGGTGGGGGTGGTGTAGGGTGGTGGTCTGCCCTTTAACCACTAAGGCTTTGTTCCTTTACAGGGAGAAAGAGAGAGCGCGAAAGAGAGAGGATGTCTCTCTCAGATTGGCACCTGGCGGTGAAGCTGGCTGACCAGCCACTTGCCCCAAAGTCTATTCTCCAGTTGCCAGAGTCAGAACTGGGTGAATACTCACTGGGGGGCTATAGTATTTCATTTCTGAAGCAGCTCATTGCTGGCAAACTCCAGGAGTCTGTTCCAGACCCTGAGCTGATTGGTGAGTCTCTGTGGACTGGGAATGGGCTGCTGCTCTGATCTCTTTCTGGGGAGATACTTCTGGAATTATAAGGGTAAATTAAGAGTTTGGGATTTGCTGCCTCATCATGTTAACAGTCTGGGAAGTGAGTGTTGTTGGGTGACTAGGAACACAAACCATGTAATAAAACTATCGATTGCCATTTCAGTTGTGCGTTATACTGAGCTACTTTATCACAGAGTTCCTTAGCTATAACATGGAAGAGCAAGAATTTGGGGTAGGCTAGAGAAGGAGGAGTGCATTGTTGGGGGAGGCCCCCAGTATATGGTATTGAAGATGGGTTTTGAGGGATGATTAGAAGGATTTTTGTTTGCTTGGTTGGTTAGATGGAAGGTAATAAAAAAGGAAAGGAGGATGGCAAGGGTATTCTAGGTGGAGGAAGAAGGAATTAAATTAAATTACATAATTTATAATAGCTGAGAGATCCAACTGATTCATCCTTTTTTTGTTGTTGCATTTTCCCATTCATTTAAATTGAGCAGTCTCCAGGATGTTAAGCTCTAGAGCTTTCCTATGCATAGATTCTGTATTTTATGACTTTGTACTTGCTAATGCTTTTTATTAAAATGTATGTATTAAATAAAGCAAGTATCATTATCTGTCCAATCAAGATAAGTTTCTTAGGGGCAGACACAATCTACATTGTTTTGAGGAGCAAAATATAAATGGACCGTTCTCTTTTTAGATCTGATATACTGTGGCCGGAAGCTTAAAGATGACCAGACCCTTGACTTCTATGGCATTCAACCTGGGTCCACAGTACATGTTCTGAGGAAGTCCTGGCCTGAGCCTGATCAGAAACCAGGTGAGTAAGGGCCCTTAGATAGGGAGAGCCTCTGTAATCTCTACAAGGAAAGGGTCTGTGTGTTCTTGAGGCATGGCCTGGGTGGAATAAAGAGGGGATTTACTGAGATGGTGATGGAGGATATCTGTTTTACTTATTGGATTAGTCTCTCATTGATAATGTGCGATTTTGATCTACTTGCTTTCAACACCACTAACAGAAGGGGGTTTGTTGCTCTACTTTTTTAAGTTCATTATCCACTGTTTCATAGTGGGGTAGGGAGTGTGTGTCTATTTAAACTCCTTTAGATTAACAGTTGATTTCTCAGTGAATTTTGTATCTTTTTGTTGTTGTTGTTGTTGTTCACATTAGAAAAAAGCTGGAAACTCCTTGTGCTCCTGTAATGATGTAGTTTGTCCTCTTGCTAGCAGATCTTCCTACAAGTGACCCTAGGTGGTGATTTATTCAATCAGGTCACTCCTGCTATCCTGGTAATGTGTTTTCCTTAAGCTTGAAAATAATAGTATTAAAGTAGCTCTTGGAGTAAACTTAGGGGCCTTTAATGCCTTTTTGATTTATTAATAAAAGGTGCTGCTTAGAACTCATAATTTAAATTTTCTGTGTTTTAAAAGCTTTCCCAAGGATAAAGCTAAGCTGTATAAAAAGATTAGCTTTGTGAAACTGGCAGTTTGACATATTTTTTACGTTCATGATTGCTGTGAATGGTTATCAGCTTGAAATTTCCCGTTTTCAATTCTAAACATAAAGGACAAAAAGATCTTCTTTTGCCCCTCATGGGAAGTGCGAAAGAGAAAGGCAGTCTCTGACAATCAGGCGTTGGCCTGGCCCTCAGCTAGGCCTTGAAACATGAACAATTTCACTGATCACCAACATCTGTAAGGCCACTCACTCTGAGAAAGTAATGGATCAAGACAACAATAAGATCGCTCTCATTTTTGAACAGAGACAAAACTCTGAACATTGTCTGCATCACAAAAATGACCACATATCCCTGTCTCCAGCTATCATGAGTGACTGCTCCATCTTTATCAGTTACAGCTTGGGCCTTGCTCTAGTTTTCCTTCCTTCTAGGTAAGAATTGTTAAGATATCCAATCATAAAATCACCCCCAATTCCTGACAGCATTCAACCCCGAGCAAAACCCTGCTTCTTTAAACGTCCCTCCACATCACAGCCAAAGCCCAAATCCTATAAATCTTCTCTCACATCATCTGATTGAGATGCCCACATTCCTATGGTGTGCATCCTCCTCGCTCTACAAAGCAGTAAACCCAGTGTGGTCCACTGCAGGTGTGCCCCTCTGGTGTTTGGCTGGAGGGCACTGCCAAAGGAAAAGTAACATTTGTTGCTCCTTTGAGCCAGATTGTTTCTCTTTGCTATCCCATTTAATCATTAGACCTGTAGGCCAGATGACAGCTTTAGCATTTTATAGATGAAGAAAAGGAGCATTAGAAAAGATATTTATTGGGGTGCCTGGGTGGCTGTCAGTTAAGTGTCTGCCTTTGGCTCAGGTCATGATCTCAGGGTCCTGGGATCAAGCCCAGCATCAGGTTCCCTGCTCAGCGGGGAGCCTGCTTCTCCCTCTTCCTCTGCCCCTCCCCTCCTCGTTTGTGTGCTTGCACGCTCTCTCTCTCAAATAAATAAATAAAATCTTTAAAAGAAAAAAAAAGGTATTTATTCAAGGTCACCTACTTAGAAAGTGAGTGCAAAAGCTGGGATGTGAATCAGGTTTTCCTGGCTCCAGAGCCCACATTCTTTCCACTGGACTGGCTGCCTCCCACTTCCAAAAGAGTGAGACTGAGATTAGCTCAGAGATGTTGTAGAGACAACCATAACCCTTAGCTGATTGCTGGCTTAAGCTATTAAGAGTCCTTTTCCTCCTCCCTTTGGCCTGGAGATTTATTTTTGAAACAAAGTCACGTTTTATTGTGAGTGAAAATAAACTCAGATCCGAAAAGAAACTATCATGTTGGCATTTTGGATATTTTATCCTTGAGTGCTCTTATAAAAGGAAGCACATTTCTTGATCTCCCACTAGATTAGCGCCTGTAGGAGGAGAACCTGTCAGTTCCCTTCCTTCCCACCTGGATCCCTTTGATGGTTCTCTGTGGCAGGTTGCAAATCCCTTCAGGATCTCACTGAGCCTGCTATTCCAGCAGCGCTGTGTACCCTGAACTCCAGCCACAAAAACCAACTTGCTGTTCTTTCAAAGCACTTCGTTGTTTTATGCTTCCATGACTTTGCACATGTTCTCACTTAAGCTTAGGACTTTCTCCCCCTAGTAAACATGTGCTTGGCCTTAAAACACCCTCTCAGATGGTCTCCCCTGGGAGACGGCTCTGTGTCCTAGCCTGCCCTCTGCATGATGGCTGTCTGCCTCCTGCCCCTCGTGCCCTAACTGGGGCCCACATCTCTGCGGAGTGCCTAGCATGCTCTTCTGTCATTGTGTGTTTGTGGGTTTGATCTAGTCTCGCTGCTTCTCCTGTCCCAAGAGTTTCTTGTTGTAGCAGGGAGTCTTATTTTTTTGCCTTCCTGTGCCTTTCCCTCAAACCAGGCCTGGAGTAAATTGCTTAGTACATGTTTGTTAAATGAATAAATTGGGTAATTCACTTAAGATGAATATTTTTTTGGAAGATACCACTGTCCTGATTAGAAGTATAGGTAAGGACATGGTTGCTATCCCAGACCCCAGGCTGCCATTCCCCTTGCTTTGGGACGGTGGCCCCTGGAGTTGGGCAGTACACGGTGTGTATAATCACAAGAAGCTGTCCCAGGTGAGGAGAACCACACTTAAAAGTGTGACCCAGTGTGGACTTCATACCTCCTGCCCCTCCTTTTACCCAGATCTCTTCACCTGTGAAATGGGCTGATGTCCTAAATAGTAAAGTAACCAAGTAAAACTAAAACAGCTGCTAAACTTTTCCATATTGGGAATGAATCATAGTGTCCAAAGATCAGAAGGGAGCTTTGAGTCTCAGTGAAGCACTTGTTATGGGGCATGTGATACAAGGTTGTTACAAGAACCCTAGGAGCACGGTGTGTTTTCTCGGTCCTTTTTAAATATTTTTTTAAAAATTCAGAATAATATTACAGAAGCCTGAAAGAAGATATCAAAGAGGAAACAATCAGCCTTGATCCTGCCACCCTACCCAGGTTCTCTTCTTCCCTCTGTCCCTTTCCAGCCTGGGACCACGTGCACACGGACACATTTTACGTAGCTTTACTAGAGAACATATGTACAACTTTGTGTTCTATTTCTCTCCCTTAACATATTGTGTCAGCATCGCTCCATATTGTTCAGATGGCTTTTGGTTCTTATTTTAAATCACTGTATAAAAGTCTACTGAGTTGATTATACCTTCCCCCTTGCAAATGTAAGAAGTCTAGAATTCCTGCAGTGGGAGATCGATCAGAGCCGTCTCTTTCATGTGGCAAGGTTCACCTCTGCCAGAGCTGGAATCTCTTTGTTTTATATACTGGAGAAGCTTAAAAGAGCACAGTTTTCACATCTGCGGCATCGGTGGGTGTTTCTGCACGGGCACTCATCCTCTTAGCAGGGTGCTGGGGGAACGGGCTGAAATGCTGCACTGCATCTGCTGCAGGGACAGGGCCGGGTTGTAGGTAACTGAGTGTCTTGTCCCCAGAACCTGTGGACAAAGTGGCTGCCCTGAGGGAGTTCCGGGTGCTGCACACTGCCCTGCACAGCAGCTCCTCCTACAGGGAGGCGGTGAGTGTGTGCCCAGGCCCCTTGCCCAAGCCTCCTGTCAGGATGGCAGGAGAGGGTGCTAACGCTGGTGAGTGGTATAGAGTGGGAGATGGTGGGCCGTCGCCATGGCGACCGAGAGTTCCTGGGGAGTTTTTGTCATGCCTATGGGTCTCAGTAGAGCCCTGTCATCCCCCAAAGAGGCTCTCTCAGCTAGGTATTGTTGATTCCATCTAATGATAATGATACCACCTCTCCTGATATTGGCCTCATGGAATGAATGTAGTTACAGCCTGTGGATCCACATACTGTTTCTGCTGGGCCTTGTTCTTTGACTTTCTGCTGAATTGCCTGCCCACTGCTCCTTACCTGGATTTCCTCACTGAGAAAATGTGCTGACGTGTCTCTGTAGGAGAATTGATAAGCCAAATTAATAGAGCTGCAAACTTCTCAATATGATGCATACAAAAATGATAATTTTATAGAGATTGAAAAGGGCTTTTGGGACCTAGAGGAACGCTTGTTACTGGGCTTATAAAGAGAGCTTTTATTTTGGAAGCATTAGAACTGTAGAGGAGGGAAAGGAATAGAAATTGAAGGTTTACTGTGATCTTGCTTTTTTTTTTTTAATGTTTACCCTCCAGTAAACCACAATCTTAGAGCAAAAAGAGGTTCATCTGTTTCCTGGGGCTATTGTTCCATTGTAGTGGTGTGTGTGCGAGCTTGTAGAGGGAGGAAGCCCTTCAGCAGCGTGCGGGTGTTTGCTGAGTGGATTGGGCTTAGTTGAGTGCTCAGCCCCCCCCATTTCTCCTGCAGGTCTTTAAGATGCTCAGCAATAAGGAATCTCTGGATCAGATCATTGTGGCTACCCCAGGCCTCAGCAGTGACCCTATTGCTCTCGGTAAGTGCCAGAGGAAATAGGAGTTGTTGGAGAAGGAGAAACCAGGGGAAGGCAATTACCATCTTGTCCAGGATCACTGGTCTTGTTGAAGGAGAGGGGAGACCAAGACACATTCCCTACACCCAGCCCTCCAAGGGCGGTCAGTGCCACGGAGAAATCATGGCCTACCTAACATCAGAAATGAGGCGTGAGGATGCCAAATGGGGGCAGCAGTTAGCCCCCAGTAGGGAAGACTTCCTGAACACATTGGTGGCTTAGGGAAGAACCCAGACGTATGGGGAAGAGAGGCTGGCGTGTTAGTCTAAGGCGTGTGGCCTAAGTGCAGGGGGAGGCGGTGAGAGGGGCACAAGATGGAGAACACTTGGCTTGTGTTTCTTTTTTTTTTTTTTTAATTTTTTATTGTTATGTTAATCACCATATATTACATCATTAGTTTTTGATGTGGCTTGTGTTTCTTGGTGCTTCGTTTCCCCCCTTCTCGTGGGAGCTGCTTTGTGATCCTATGTCCCTGTCGAGCCGGTTGATCTGAGGCCTACAGCCTCTTCACCCTCCTGGATCTGGCTCGATTGGCAGTCTCTCAGGTGAGCCCTGTTCTCCTTCAGGCGTTCTCCAGGACAAGGACCTCTTCTCCGTCTTCGCTGATCCCAGCATGCTTGATACGTAAGTACACCCATCTTAGTAAAGGGTCCCCTATCCCTCCCCAGATGGTGGGCCCAGAATCCTCATTGTTGCCCTGGATTCTGCTCTTAGAGCCCAACCCTGTCTATCCCTGTGTCCACCTGTGAAGTATGTCAGGAGGTGAGAAAGAGCAGGGGCTACCAGTAGACCAACAAAGCCCAAGGGCAGGGACATGTGGAGATGTGGAGACGAAGCAGGGTTCTGAGGGCGGTGGCTTTGCGGGCCAGGCTCAGTTCAGCTCTTTCTGTAGACATTGGAGAGCCTTGGAAATATTTTAGGATGGGGAAAGCAAGCAGGTGCATTGATCCCTAAAATTTGAGAGCCGGAAGGGACATAGTAAAGGTCATATCCCTTACTGTGCAAGTGAAGAAAATAGCCCCACCCCGGGAAGAGAAGGGACCTCCCAGAGATTTCCCAGAGGAAAGTCGCGACGGAGTCGAGGCTGAAGAAGGGCGCCCGAGCCTCCTAGGCTGTGCGTGTCCCATGACGCCTTGCTGGAGGGGCAGGTGAAGCATGTGAAGTGGGCCCTTGGACCGCAGACCTGGCCGCTGTGGCTGGGGGCAGAGCCAGCCGGTGGGAGGCGCTGAGGAATTTAAAGGCGGGCACAGGCAATGCGATTATCTGGAAGGCACCCAGAACTTCTGTCATGCCCAGGGAACTCGGTCCTTCGTAGTTACCCTCTATTTCTTCCCGCCTCTGCCCCAGGTTGGTGCCTGCTCACCCAGCCCTGGTCAATGCCATCATCCTGGTTCTGCACTCGGTGGCTGGCAGCACCCCACTGCCGGGAGCCGACTCCTCTTCGCGGAGCGCACCCTCCAGCTCATACCGGGACATGCCAGGTAGGCCCCAGGGCAGTGTAACGTAGGCCCCCTGGGGAGCAGGCGGTGGCCCAGGGATTTGCTTTACTCAGCAGCTATGTATAGCGCTGGCAGAGGGCGTTCCTTGGGAACTCTCGGTTTGAGTCAGGGAGTGCATCTGTCCTGTAATTTTCCAAGGGGAGAGATGAAAATGTGAATTTGGAGAGTATCTGAGCTGAGATTCTGGAGCTGCGCCTGTGCCTTTCTGTTCTTCCTCCCCAAATCTGTTCTCCCTCCTCCAGGTGGCTTCCTGTTTGAAGGGCTCTCTGATGACGAGGACGACTTTCACCCAGTAAGTGGCCTGGCTGCTTGCCACTTGAGGAGATGGTGCCAGGGATGCGCCTCTCCTTAGGACTTGGCACACCCAAGCTGGGAGGTGGTCTTAACCTCTTCGGTGGCCAATCTGTGGCCTACTCTAACCTTCTGAACCTGGCAGCAGTTCAGGTAGTTCCTGTAGTGGGGGCAGGGTTCATGTGGGACCGTTACAGTGCCACTTCCCCGATTGCCTCCCTTCTCCAGAGCTCCAGGTCCACGCCCTCTAGCAGCACACCCAGCTCTCGCCCAGCCTCCCTGGGGTACAGTGGAGCTGCCGGCCCCCGGCCCATCACCCAGAGCGAGCTGGCCACCGCCCTAGCCCTGGCCAGCACTCCGGAGAGCAGCTCTCACACGCCGACTCCTGGCACCCAGGTATGGAGGGAGGGCCTGAAGAGGGAGGCCGGCCCCCAGGGGAGAAGCTCCCTAGCAGTACTGACCCTGGTACTCCATCTGGTTTGAGCTGAAGTCTGCCTGGAGCCCTGGTGGGGTTCTCAACGGCAGCTCGGTCGACCTCCCCCTGTCCCTTGTCCTTAGGGCCCAGCCTCTGGGGTGCGGTACAGTCCAGAATTCCTCCCCTCATAGCTCAGAAGTACCTCCCCTCACATAACGTGCCCTTCTTCATCCATGACAGGGTTCAGCCGTCCGGCTTAAGTGTTCCTGGTAATGGTCACTCTAGTTGCCAAGGCCATCTCTCCCAGTGCAGCGGTCCTAGGCTAGGTTAGGGGCTCGATTCCATTTCCCTGGAGCAGGAAAGGATGGAATCTTCCCTGGCCACAGCAAGCTTTTAGGCATCCCTCTGTGGTTGTCTCATGCAGGTCTCTGTTGGGAGGCAGTAATTGGGTCCCCTGGGGACCCACGATGGGGTGCTGTGACAGTAGCTGGTATGTGCTGGAAGATTGAGGTGGCTCTGAGGGTGGCACTGACCGCTGATTCGTCTCTAGGGCCACTCCTCGGGGACCTCACCGATGTCTTCTGGGGTCCAGTCAGGGACGCCCATCACCAATGATCTCTTCAGCCAAGCCCTACAGCATGCCCTGCAGGCCTCGGGGCAGCCCAGCCTTCAGGTTAGTTGTCCCTTCTGGTGTCCTAGTTACTGGCGACTTCTTAGCTACTTTGGATAGTCAGCTTCTTCCTGCTCTTCAGAGGGCCTTATTCACTCCAGAACAGCTGGGGCATGGTGGTGTGACAGGAGAGGATGTTTCCAGCAAGGGCAGTTGTCGCTGTGGCTTTCACTCCTGTACCCTGTGACTGTGGCCTGCCCCTACTGACTGTGTGGCTTGGATACTTAGGGCAGTTTGAGTCAAAGAGTTGTTCATTTATTCCATGAGCATTGACCGAGCCTTGAGCGTGCTATGTACCAGACCTGGGTCCAGCTCCTGGGGCAGAGACAAGCCATCATCATCACTGCCATGGAGGGGTACCAGCAGAGCTGATTGTCAAAGAATTGGTTAGAGGTTAGTCAGGTGGGGAAGGAGGTATTTAGGTGGGAGGATGGTGTCTGGGCAGAGGCAGCCACCTGTGGAGGTACATGTGACATACCCAAGCCTATAGGCTAGAAGGCAGTATCCTCATGGAGAAGATCCTAGATGGAGCCAGTGAAAAGGGAAGCAGGAGCCTGAGCACGAAGGCCTGGAGTGCTCAGGTAAGGAGACCAGACTGGATTCTGCAGTCACCAGGGAGCCATGGAAGGTTTTAAGCAGGGAGGGATACCATCAATGCTCTGCTTCCTGGGAGGGTCACCCTAGCAGCTAAGTGGAAGGCCCTAGGAACCAACGTCTGCTTGCACGTCTCCATTCATGAGGAGTCCCTGCTGCACTCTGTTTCCTTTGCTCCTCACAGTGAGCCTGGGAGACGAGTGTCATTTCTGGAACTTGTCCAGGGTCATGAAGCCATCCGGGGGAAGGACAGGGCTCAAGCTCCTGTGGTTTTTCTCTAAACCACGTGGCCCTGGTGGACAGTGAAGGAAACAGGAGCAGGATCCGTGGACAGCTTGTCTTTTCCGTTCCTTCATCTTCCGCAGCTAGATGCCTCTTCCCTCTGCTGTCCAGCTCAGGAGCTTTCACTGGCTCCATGTGGCCTGTAAATGAGGCAGAGTTGGTTTGTGTGATTTTTGAAAAGCCCTCCATGCCTCACCCTTGCGTGCCCGCCTCTCTGAATTTGCATGTCATCCCCACTGCTTTCTCTTTCCCATAAGTGAGCACATTGTCTTCCCTAAATTGTTCACTTCCTCCTTGATGAGGTAGAGGTATTATTAAGCTTTGAAAGTACTAAAAGAAAATGTGGGCTAATTTCTTTAAACCTTTATAGTAGAAGAGGCCTTTTGTAGCTGAGAGTCAAAATCCAAGAGCCATTGCATGAAGAGTAACACATTTTGAGTTTGTAAAAGTGAAGATTTCTGCATAGCAAACCAAACCAGCCAACCAAACAAACAAGCAAAGACCGAAGCCTGACAAACTGGGAAAAAATCTGTAACATGTATCAGGCAAAGGGCAAAACTTCCCTGGTATGGAGAATTCTAGTAATTTGGGTTTAAGAACTCCATAGAAGAACAGACAGAGGGCAGGAACGGACTCTTCGTGGAAAGGAAGTACTGAAGGCCTTAAAGCCGTGTGATTCCTTGCAGCCCCATTTCTTGGAATTTACCCTGGAGATGGAGGTACGTGTATGTAGAAAGTGACATCTGTACAGAGGTGGTCCCTGCAGCATCGTTGTGATGGCCAAAGGTTGGAAACAGCTCGGTTATGGTACACTTCAGGACGTCCATGAGTTGGAATATTGTACAGTTATTAAAAAGGTCTTTACTTAGGGGCGTCTGGGTGACTTAGTCAGTTAGGGGTGTGCCTTCAGCTCAGGTCATGATTTCAGGGTCCTGGGATCAAGCCCCACATCGGGCTTCCCTGCTCAGCAGAGAGTCTGCTTCTCCCTCTCCCTCTGCCTCTCTTCCCACTCGTGCTTTCTCTCTCTCTCTCAAATAAATAAATAAAATCTTAAAAAAAATAAAAATAAATAAAAAGGTCCTCACTTAGTGGCATAGAGAGATCACCGGGATGCATTAATTATGTTGGAAAAAAGTGAGAGGGGTTGCTGAATGTAGAACAAGGGTCTCAGAAAAGAGTAGATAAAAGAACACATATTTGTATTTTCTCAAAGAAAGTAAAATAGGTTCTCTGGGGTGGGAATGGGAGTGGATAGACTGAGACTTTTCACTCTGCGTCATGCTCAGAAACAAAACTAATTTAAAAATGTATGCCCTTCCCCCATTTTGTGTGTACGTGTCTGTCGGTCTGTACATAGAGCAGAAGAAAGTAAGTCGTTTAATTTTTTGAAATTTAGACTGTGAGTAATCTGCGCCTTCTCTTTTGATCTTTATGGTGACATTTTCCTTTTTTTAATTGGGAAAACTTTGTGTTTGTTCTCTAAACCTTCCAGCTCCTCTGGTAGGTAGTCTTCCTCGAAGCCCTGAGTGCTGTGGAACTTCACAGCGGCGACTTTGCTGTGGGAACCCACCTTCCCTCTCCCCCCCTAAGAGAGCAGACCTGAGGGAGTCTACGGAGGGTCCCAGCTAACCGCTCCTGCCTGCTCCTGTTTTTCTACAGAGCCAGTGGCAGCCTCAGCTGCAGCAGCTGCGTGACATGGGCATCCAGGACGACGAGCTGAGCCTGCGGGCCCTGCAGGCCACTGGCGGCGACATCCAAGCGGCCCTGGAGCTCATCTTTGCCGGAGGAGCCCCATGAACTCCTGCTCCTTCTCACCGCCCCCCATCCCCAGCAAACTGCCAAGGTGGCTGCCCACAGGAGGCACTCCTGAAGGTGCCCCGTCTCTCCTCTCCCCAATACATCTGATGGTTGACCTTCTGCCTTGTCCATTGCGTGACCCTTCTGGCTGACCGGAGCTGGTGGAGGCAGGGGGGCAGGCATGGTGTGTGGGTCTTGGTGTGTAGCTCGCCCCTGCTTCTGAGCCCTGGGTGGAAAATTTTAGACCCGTGTCATGGGATGTTGTGTGATGCCCATACTCTCTTTTGGGAGAAGTTTCACGTGATAGCCCCAGGCCCTTTGGTACTTTAGGGTGTGGCATCCTCAGGACATGCCCAAGGCTGGAGCAAGGCTGCCACCCAGTGTCCAGGGTGGCTGCCATGTGGCCAGAAGAGGCATGTGCTGCTGAGATGACCCCAGGCTGGGGAGTGGCCAGGGGTACTTTTACTGGGAGCAGGTAGGGCAGCTTTCCTTCCCACGGGCTTCCAGAAGATTCCATGTCCCTCCCCTGGCCTTGTCTCCTCAGGCAGTCTTTGCCGCTGATGCTGTAAGGACGCCAGACTCCAGGCCTCAGAGCAGTGCCAGGAGGCAGGGCCCTCTTCTCTGTCCTGAAGGCGTAAATACAAGAGCAGTTAAATAACAATGCTAAACAACAACACCAACACGAACTGGGCTCAGCTTTCATCTTGAAGAGAGGGCACCAACCCCCAAGCTGCTGCTCCATCTGCCTGAGCTCTCGTTCCCCTTGGCACAGTGTTCCCGACTGCGTCGCACACACGCCCAAGTTGAGCGAGTGGGTTTCGTGTGCCTTGAATACTTTGTCACATCCTTCCCCTCAGATGGTGTTTCTGTGGAAAGGAGCTCAGAGGTCTGCTCCTGCCCTGTGTCTTCGGCAGACGTCTGTCCTCAGCATCCCCAGTCATGGTCATTCAGCTTCTGCTTGTCGCTCCTTGGGACAAGAGGTCTCCCCCACTCCTAAGGACTGCCTGCTGTGTCCTTTGTTCCCCAGAGCGTTTGGCCTTTAGTCCCCACAGACAAGCCTGCTGCTCCCTCTGCTCTGTTAGCATGGCTCTAGTTGGGGAGAGGAATGGCAGTTCACTTGCCCCTTTGGCTTGTGCTGGTGTTGGTGCCCAGCATATCCTGTTCTCTCTGCATGACTTCCAATTTATCAGTGACGCTCTTAAAAGGAGGTTCTTGGGGTGGGGGGGACCCACAGTTCCAGATATGGCCTGAGCAGCACATTGTTCTTTCCCTCCTCCAGAAAACGTGAAGTCTTGCTGCATTCCCTTCTCAGTCCTAGAATTAATGTTGAGAGGTGTTCGCTGAAAAGGCTCGGAACTCACCAGGTTTCTTGGTGCCAGGCCTCTTTGTGCCTCAGTGGTCTGCTTGGAGCCCAGCTGCCCCCTTGGGCTTGAGAACAAAGACCAGGAAGCTCTGTCTTCGCACTGGCGTCCCTGGCTTGTTTGTGGTGGAAACAAAGGCCACTTCCATCCTCGTGGGACCACTTGGTCAAATGGGGCTGACAGAGCCCTTCCTCTCGCAGCCTGCCTTAGAGCTAGTTTCACTCTGTGACAAGTCATAACTCTGCCTCTGGGGACTGCCTTCAGAGGTGCTAGAGCTCCCCCACCCCTTTATGCTGTAGGACATTTGGGTAACCCTGTCCTGTCCCTGGAACTGGCCCCCAAATACCAGTTGTACTGCTTCCCAGAATTGAACCATTTCCATGATTTCCCTTTCCCTTCTTTGTCAGCTCTTTCCTCCAGGGTCTTGGCAAGTTGGCTTTGCTTCCTTTGGCCACATTTAAAAAAATATATATTGAGTCTGATAAGTGCCCCTACGGAGTCTGGGGCTTTCCATGGGCCAAGAACTCCTTCCTTACCATTGTTCCCTTCACCCTTTCAATAAACACTCATCCAGCTTCTGCTCTGTGCCAGGTAAACCTGATGGGGTCTTTGCTGTCACAGAGCCACGTCACTGGGAAGACAGAAAAACAGATGTTCACACTAAAGCCTGAGGAGAGCTGGCAAGGCAGGTCCCCTGGCTTAGGGCTCCTAGGAAGGGGAGCCCATTTGGGTTAGGGTGGGGGGGGGAGTGTGTGTGTGTGAGGGAGAGCTGCTTGGGGGAGGCATTGGGCAGGAAGGTGTACATGTTGAGTGGGAGCGGGAAGAACAGGGCTCTGGTAGCCCTATGTGGCAGGGTGGATCTTGAGGTGGGCAGAGGCTGGGTTATTTTAAGCCATGTCACAAGGAGTTTGGACTTCCCCTAAGGATGCTGGGCAGTCACAGGAGATTTCGGATCACGGGAGAGTGAGATTTGCATTTTAGAGAGGTCACTGGCTGCTGTGTGTAAACCGGTGGGGAGTGAGGCAGGCTTGAGGGAGGGAGGCCAGCGAGGAAGCTGTGATCCACTTAGCACTGACCATGCGCTCACCAGGCAGCGTGGCCTTGTGGGGGGAGGGCGGGTGGACAGTGAATTAGCTTTGAGGAATCAGCATTCATATCGCATCTTGGGAAAGGGGAGTGTACTTAATTACCTCTGGTTTGTATCAGGTGGGGACACCGGGGTTGAGAGGTGAGGTCATCTGTCCACAGTCTCAGGATTTGGACAAGTCGGCCTTAGGAACTCAAGTCTGTCTTACTCCAAAGCTGGTGCACCTCCCACTTCTGCCCCTGGCTGGTGAGTGTGGGAGGGTGGGAGGTGCTGCAGGGTCTGACCAGGCTGAGGAGCTTGGGCTTTATCCTGACACCAGAGAGCACCTTGGATGGCTTTAGGCAGGGCAGTGGGGGAGCCAGATTCTTGTGAGGTAACCTGACAGCTGTGTGGAGGCTGGATTTGTGGGAAGTGAGATTGGCAGTAGGAGACCAGCTAGGAGGCTTGCTGCCTGCAGATGGGACACAAGTGGGGGCCTCGACGAGAGCCACAGCAGGGGGATTGGGTTGGAGGGGAGGGATGTGAGATGAGAAACAAAAACTAGCTGTGGGGACGAGGGAGAGGGAGGGGGCGGCAGGGGAGGAGTGGGTAGATGGGGCAGCAAGAATAAGGGATGGGGCGTGGGATTTGGAATGCAGAGCCAGTTTGGGACATGTTGGGCTCACAGTGCCATGGGGCAGCCAGGTGGGGATGTCTTATAGAACAGTTGGATGGTTCTGAGGCTGCAGATAATAATGATCAGGAAGTCTTAAATTGAAGACTGGGCCTGTGTCATGTGAGAAGGGAACTGAACTCTTCAGCGGCAGGTAGCAGGAAAGGGACCCCCACTAAGGAGTTATACTGTATAGGGGTGGTGACTGGTGACCATGGAACACGGAATGGGGGGTATCTGCCGCTTCTGGGAATGCGAGACCAGGAGTCATCATAGCTGCCAGACTGGAAGGAACTGGACAAACTGCATGGTCGGGTGCTGTGAGCTGTCACGGAGAGACCTGGTAACCAGGGCTTGTAACCTTGGACTTGCTGCCGTGAGTCATGGTGACCTTGGGGAGATGTTACCAGGGACCCAGAGCCCAGTGATAGGGGTCGAGGCCTGAATAGGTGGGCACAGCAGAGGCAGGGAAGGTAGAGAGCTCTGGGGAACCTCGCCTGCAGGAGGGTAGCTGGAGGGAAGATGGTTGGCAGTTGGAGGGGAGATGAGACTGAGAGTGAGCTTTTGCAGTTCAGTAGAGGTGAAGTTGGAATTGATCACGAGAACTTTTCTAGGAAGCTAAGGGGAGAAAAAAAAAAGGAAGAGACCCCAAAATAGAATATGTAAATATGCAAAGATGGGTGAGTTTTCTGAACAGATCCCTTCTCCTGATATAACTCACATTTGGCTGGGCTGGCATGGGCTGGGCTGGCACAGCTTGCCGGGCGCATGGGCCCCATCTGGCCTGGGCCCATACCAAGCTCTCAGAACCCTACCCTGAGCTGGCCTCTTGTCACCTCTGCCACAGGCCGTGGCATTGCATGTTTGCTGAGAAAGTCAGGGGTGGGGGTTAAATCACTTCCAACCTCCAGGCCTCCGTGTGCTTACCCAGCCTCTCCAATCCCCCTCTGGGCCTGGGGAGGTGGTAGGTCGACTTGGCTGTGCCGCTGGTTTCCCTGGGCCCAGCCCTGTCTGGCTCCTTCACTTTCTGTCTGCAGTTGCTGGTAACAGAATTCAGCTTTCTGTATGCTTGAAATACCTTGTGCCGAGACCCAGGCATTGCCCTACTGTACCTTGGCAAAGCAGCTGACAGCAATGCGCTACAGTAGTACTCATCTATCAGGCCCTCTCTCTGTGCCAGTCCTAGAGCTAGGCATGCACAGATGCTATCGCAGCTGAACCTCATGACAACCCTGAGAGGTAGATACTCCCCCTTTTACAGATGACTGCTTCCTGTTGTCACAGGACGTGGCTATGTGGGGAAACTGGCCTTCCTGGGACTGGGATGGGACTGGATCGGCACGATTCCATCAGTCCATCACCTGGGGCCTCTTACCTGGGTGCCAGACCTGGACGCCCGTGGGAGGCACTGTGGGGTCTGCTCAGCACTCATCCCTCCAGGAAGTGGCAGCTTGCGTCTTAGAAGGGATTCATTCTTCTAAGTGAGACTGGCTAAGGGTTAGATCTTTTCCACAGACAGCCTAACCTCTTGGAGCTCACTTGTGTCCTGTTTGACATTTTCCCTCAATTTATATAAGTGGAGATTGACAATGTGCAAATCAGAGATGGCAGGGCACTCAGAGATAGGCTGGTGATTGTTCTAGATGACTGATGGAGTCAGTCATTCTTGTTAGGGCAACCCTAACGACGGACAGGAACAGGGACAGTCTAAGGTCCTGTGGTGGGGACCAGAAAACCAATGGCTCTCATGCAGGATGGGGTCTCATTTTTCCCCCTCCTAGGCCCAGATTCAGACTCATCATCTTTCTCAACCAGTGTTCCAGAAAGCCACTGCTGATGGGTGGGAATTGGCCCAAGGATGACTGTGGGCTAAGATCAATAGGATTTAGCAGGCTGCTGTCCCAGCTCAATAGGGCAGTGCCTTTGGAGGGGCTTGGTCAGGAGTGAAGTCGGTCTTCCAACCCTGTACTACTCAGCCTCTTTTCTAAATGTTGTGTTCTGATCTGCCACCCTATTTTTGAAGGAGGTGGACACAAACTGGGCTGCCCAGCACCTAAGAGCTTCTCTGTAGAAGTTTGTTAAGTGACTGCTGTTGTCCTAGGAATCAGCCAGGATGACAGAGAACAACCAAAACCCCATGAGGGACCTAGTTGGTACTGGGGTTATTTACCCTGAAAAAAAGAGTAGATTTAGAAG